TTAATTATTGTTATGAATTTGTTTCTCTGTTATATGGCACCTCGTACTAGAATGTTCTATTTATCTTAAACTGATTTTATATTATTTAATGTGTAAAAAATGCCAATTTTACTCGAAATCCATAAACGATATCAAAATTTTGTAAGAGGTAAAAAATCTTCTAAAATAGTGCTTATTTTTAAAAATATAAATTCTGTCGTTATTGGCGTACATACAAAAAAGTTACGGGATAGCCAGTAGCGCACAGGCACTAGAAAGAGAACATCCTGTATATGTATTATCACCAAATTCTTTATTTACATTGCCCTTATATAAAAAATATGTGTACCAAATTTGAAGTTTCTAAGAAAAACAGCTTTCAAATTATTTGAAAAAACTAGGTTATCTGTTCTATATTTAGAAGGCTATATCTCAGTAGGCGTGTTTTTTTTTGTATATAGGTAAGTTATGCTAAATAGTCCTGTTTTCGTCCAAGGAACCTGTGGTCAAGCGTTGTCCATCCTTTTCAGGGACACCCTGTACGTATTTGATTTACATATCTACAAACCGAATCCAGTAGATGTTTGTCTTTAATTAGATAAATCTTTCCAAATTTAATTTTCCCACATAAAACCTCTTTACTCTGTATTTCAGAAACAACAAAATTCATGTTTATACTTTTTTCCTTACTTTAGCAGCTCGAATTGCAATATTATGTCTCCCAATCCTGTTAATAAAANGATGTTTGTCTTTAATTAGATAAATCTTTCCAAATTTAATTTTCCCACATAAAACCTCTTTACTCTGTATTTCAGAAACAACAAAATTCATGTTTATACTTTTTTCCTTACTTTAGCAGCTCGAATTGCAATATTATGTCTCCCAATCCTGTTAATAAAAATTATAAATAGTAGTAATTCCTCATATCCAGTGTTCCATTATAAGTCCTATAATTATTTCAATTAATTTCTCTTCTCTCATTGAAGTTGCACTTGCAAATATTGTTTTACTGCTTAGAAAAGTGTCTCAGATTCCCTTCTGACAACTTCATCTAATTGTTACTAAATTATGTCATGTTCTAGCACCCACCATAGTGTAACAACGTTGTTTCATCTAGTTCTATTAGCATTTGTAAACAATGTCAAACAAGTTTTAAACATACATTATCTGTACTCAAAATCTCACAGCGGTGTGGTTATCAAAGAATATGTAAATAATTACGAGTATATCTCTGCAATTCTCGGCATTTTGGCAAGGTGATATATCAACTTCAGCTCGGCACTAGTCTTTATTCTCGTCTAGATTACTTGTGGATGTCAAAACTTGCGATTATTGTGTTAGGATATATGTAATATTTAACAGTTATGGAAGTTAAACTCATTACTAAGTGCCAAACAGTACATTAAAAATTGTTTACTTGTGTACAAACTTTTCCTAAAGAAAAAGAAAAAAATTGTATTTTTTTTGAAAATAAAAGAAATTTTCTTAAATTTAAACGATATGTGATATAAAATTGTGGGAAAAGTCGAGAAAAATTCTTCTTTTTCATTTTGATAATAATGTTTGAGAGCAATAAAAATATTTCTATAATTCTTTTCAAAACTGATCATTTGCAACAAGAAAACGGTTGGATGGATCAACTTGACAATTTACAATTTTATTGTGGGTAAATTGAACTATCAAAATTTCTCTCAACATTAGTCTTTTCATTAATATTTGTAAATTAGCGGTATATTTTCAAAAAAAAAAACATAAAAAGTCATTTTTCGCACTTTTTTTCAATTTAATGATGAAAAAAAAATTCTTCCAAAATCATGATAGATCTTGTACAAAATTTATTAAAGTTTTCAGAACCGCCCTAGGATTTACTGTGCAATAATATGTTGCTCAGATATGGATAATTAAAAACAAAAGTGTCATTTTTCATTCAACAATCAATATCTCGGTAACCATTAGTCATACGAAGATCTTCCAAAAAGCAAATTGAAGCTGATTAAACAAGCTAACTCACCTCTACATTGACTGAATTCGAAAAAATTTTCCTGAATCCGTGGATAGTCCAAAAAAAATAGAAAATTTGTGATTCGAGATATTTCTTTTGATTCTTCGATAATCATAGCTCAAAAAAAAAATGTTGTCAAAAGATCTTGAAATTAGAGACTTCAAGCTTCAAGACAGTCTTTTTTTATCTGGACATGACCATTTTTTACTGAGTTATAGCCTTTCAAAGATCACTAAAAAATTTATAAAATATTTTTCCCCTTAAGTTTTTCCAGTAGTGTATACAATAAATCCTAACATAAATATGCAATAAATCCATAATATGTATACGAAATATGGAATAGCAAGTATTCCACATGTAAAATCTACTGCAAAAATCATTTAGTACATTAAAAAAATTGCTCAAAACGTTTCCTGATGTTACGTAATGCAGTGATTTCGTTAGTCGCATATATTATCAATTAGTTCATAATTATTTATAAATAAATCTTAATCACTTTTTACTTCCTGAATTTTGACAGACCAACTTTCTACGTACACCAAATACACTATTACTAGCGGTATAGCCTAAATCTTGAAATATAATAACAATAACGGATTGAGTTTGAAGGTTAAATCTGTAAAACTACTTTTTATTACATTTATTCGTTTCCGGTTTATTTTTTCGTTAATGAGGAAGTATTATATATTTCTTAATGTTAATGAAACAAATACTTCTCCCATTCACTATTAATTCTCAACGAGTCGATAATTCCTTTTATACTGCAAAGATGAAATGAAAACAGTTCACTGAAATTGTCAAGTAAAACATGTAAAATATAAACAATCAAAAATTACTTATATCTTACAGAGTAAAATTTAGTTTTTATGGTGTGATTTCTTATGTCAAAATTTAAAATAAGAAACCGGTTTATGTAATACATATATTTTTTAGTTAAATAACATATGTAATGTATTACATGAAATTCGAAATTATAAAATTTTGTAACAAGTATTTTGAAACATACAGTTATGTTAGTATCTACCAATTTCTAAGAAGAATAATTAATAATATATTATCTATTTACCTAAAACTAGAACATTACTTTCTAAAACTCATAGTTGGGAGATGTACAATGTACTACTGAATTTTATTTCCCTTTCTTTCATCTGATGGTAATGTTAGAGACGAGGTAAAAGATTCATGTCACGTTCTTCAGTTTGATATAGCAGTAATTTCTGTCTTGATGTCAGATGACTATGCATTGTACCTATTTCAGCACCTAAATACTGAAGTGTAATACGCCATTTATAATTGCAATCACGTTCAGGGTTTTTAAATTCCAAAAATTCGGGTTTCTATAAACTGCAAATTTAATCTCTACACTCAATAAAGCAGTACTACTCGTCCATATGAATTACTTTATGACATGATATAAAATTCTTATTGTGTCGTATTCATGTCATTGGTTAAAGAACTTTCGTCTCCAATTAATTAACGGTCTAATTCTTGTTGTGTTTAAATGACTTGCTGATTCTATCACTAACGCAAAACAAAAATAAATCCGACCGCCGATTATCTTTACATAATAGAGAACTACATTTGGCCATATATTTCGCAATTTCTAGTTGTATAATAAAATGTAAAAGTTAAAAAGATGTATTTGATATTACAACATAGTTGAAACAGCCTTAATCATTCTTTAATCTCAAAAAACCGAAAAGTTTAAGTCGAACTTAAACAGTTTCATAAATGTATGGAACTGACAAATATACAGGATGTTACAATGCCGATGCAACAAATTTTCAAGGTTCAATCAAAGCAAACAAAAAAAAAGGTCAATAGTGATATTTTTGCTAAATCCTTCATTAGAAATGAAACACAGTTTTTAATTAATTACTCAAACAATGTAAAACATAGACAAGTCAGTGACGTCCAAACTAGGAATGGCCGAGGTGTTTTAAATGTCGAAAGAAAAGTTAATTAATGTTGCATCTTCCTTTACAGGTTCATTCCCAATAAATGTTTTACCGCTAATTGATTTTTTTCATAAAATACACCATCCTCAAGCAAAAGTCCGTACACTATAACAATTTTAACAACATAGATGAATATCAGAAGGTTCAAATAATTTCAAGTTCTCCAAAATTTAGTACTTATTTGAATAAAAAAATAGCCATAAGATTAGATTCAACCTCTGGTTTTTAAGAAGTTGGAGGAAAATAATTAGGTTTTATTTACGGGCATCTACTGACGAATGTCTAACATATTCGTTCTAAACAACTACTCTACGGACTTTAGCTCTGGTTTACACCCACTATACCTAGTATGCATTTAAGACCTATTCACCAGCAAAATCATCTGATAGAGACCTGTTTCAGAATAATAAAATCTCATCACTATGAAATCGATGCACGATCTAGCTATTTTAATGTCTGTCTACCTACAAATTTTGAGTGTGGGTGAGATATAATCTACAAATGCCATTGGACATTTAGCGTGTTTAATGTTTTTATTAAAATTTTACGAGTATGTAGGTTTATGATAGATACTGCAATTGTACCAATTTTGATGTCTACCATATACCTAGACAATAATTATTATAAGTATTCAATGATTCTTAAACAACTGATCACAGTCTCTGAAGGAATGTAATAGCTTTAGGAAAAAACGTTTCTCCTGCTGTTTTGTTTATTATAATGAAAGTCAAATTTATTTGCTTTCAATCGATACCTTACAAGTATGTAAAGAAAATATAATTGTTATCAATTTATGCTGAAAATTATAAATATTGTTGCATGTTGAAAATACCTAGAGAACATAATTTTCTATTATTTTATTTAAATTTTTTTCATATTATTTCCTTTATAAGTTAAGTTATTTATTTTAATATATTTTTTTTAATTTTTACAATATTTTAAAATTATTTTTGTACTATTTTGCGTTGTGACGTTTTTCAAATCACTGTTTGAATTATCAACTTTTAAATCTAGTTTGCCGCCGTTCCTTAAACCTTAAGAATAATCACAATCCTACATACTTTTGAGAGCCCAGTTTTCAGCACGGCCGAGCCCCTGAATGTAAGTATCCATGTCTTTCCGACAACCCTCACTCAGCGATCCCTTAAACCGCCCCCAATTGGCGGCCAGCAGCTCGGTGTTGTAAAAGTCCAGCACTCTGGCCAAACTGGCCCTCACCGTATGGATAGACGCATTTCCACTCACACTAACATTCACAGGGGGTAGCAAATACTTGGCCTCCACCGAGGTACCCTCGGAGTACTCCATCTCCTCTACATCCGCCGGATCTGAACCCGCTTGAGCGGTCTGATTCGAACAGACGCATTTCAGGTAAACCAGCACGAATAGTGCCCTCGGGATTATCATGTTTCCCGCGGTGGTGAAATAGACAATTGAATATCGCGCCAAGCAAGTTCAAGAATAACTGGTGAACGGAGCAGATTTCTGATATAGCGCGACGTTACCCAGGCAATGTGGCGATCCCCCGTAACTTTCTCTCTTTGTCGCAGAATGAGTAACATTTCTTTGGTAATGGTAATGGGCCCCCACCGATTATTTAATAGCTAACGACCAGGAAATGCAAAGCGGAGCTAGGCGTACGTGTATAAAGTCCGACATAACCTTAATCGCAATTTAAAAGAGAACCGTTTTTTTTTAATTAAATATTTTTACTTGGTCATTTTAATTTCATGTCCACAACAATTTTAAATATACAAAATTTTACGTTCAAAATTAAGAAAAAAAGAATTATAATAAACCTACGCTGGAAAATAGTCCTAAGGGAGTCTAAATTAGAAGTAGTGACCAAATATTAAGTGTCGTGGAGCCAAAAGTTGGTTCTTTCAAAATTTTTTTTTTAATTCAACACTGTATCTTAAAGCTATCGATTTGTGGGCCCATCTTTGTATAATTTTTTTTGATCATCGCACGCAATTGTCTCCACCTAAATTTTTTGCACACATTTCTTCTTTCTGGGATTCTTCCGTAACTCTGCAACTGTAAAATTTATAAAAAGATTGTTTTAATAAAAGTTGCCTGGAATCTTGTGGGCAATGTAAGGAAAATATTTTTAGCTTTACAAAGTGTTCCATTTCGCGTGGGCGCTACATAACTTTGTTATTTTAAATGGAACACCCTGTATATTATTGCATTTTTGAATTCCTTGGTTAATATTAGGTAGAGTTTATTAAATGTGCATGGTGTTTAAAACTTACCGTTTTCGAGATAATCAGTTGTTTTTTGAAAAACTCACAATTTCAGCTCTCTAAATGAGGCTAGATAGCGTCTAAACCGTAAAAGTTAGAAACCTACAGTTTTCACAGTTCATTTTGGCATGCGTGAATGCAAAATTGAATGTCCTTTCGACTGATATAAGGTTGTGCATACTTATCTTTAACAGTTTTCCAGAAAAATCAGGTTCTTTTCTAAATTCTGAAAAAGTAGATATGTAACAGGGTCAAGAAGGCCTTGCAAAACCACTTTACTCTCACATTTAATCAGGCCTGGACTAACAGTGTCAATATTTACTGGCATGTTTAAAAAGTGGTTTGACAAACAAAAGTAAACCACTAAAGCATAGCCTTCTTGATTACAGCATTCTTGTTGTCAGGTGCACGACAATAAATTTTGCAAATTTTAAAGAGAACGGTTCATGTTGGCGACATTGAACAAGAGTACCTTTTTTGTGACATATTAGTTTATTTTTCAGAAAATTTGATCAATTTTCCGAAAATGCAAAGGACAATTTTTTTTTCATAATAAAATCCTATGTGCTACCCCGGCTCTCCGCTCCTGGGCGATGGGAATAAATTGTTTTTGCACGAAATTGTTGCATTTTAGTGTCTAAGAAACTGCACCAAGATTCATTTAAATTGCCTAACTTTTGTAGAAGTTATTGCGAAAAATTGTTTCTCAAACTGTACCTTTATCACCCTGTAACTTTTTTATTATGCATTTTCGGACCTATGTTTACATGAAACTTTTTGCTCAAAATGACATTTTCTATCTGTCATATTCATTTGGCACCATAGTTTAGAAACACCCTGTATA